AAATTAATATTCGATAAATTAATAACCTCGATTAAATAATAGTTTCTCTCGGTCCCGACTCGGTGAAAAAGTGTTAAATTATTAACTCGACAATTTAATAATTCGCTAAATTAATAGAATTTCCCTAGTCCCGACTGTATTAAATTATAGAGGTTTAACTGTAATTAAATAGTGAATATACAATAAATACAATTCAATCTAATCCAAATTAATCTGATCTGTGTAACCGAACAATGCCTAAACATATTATATAATTAATTTATCAAGCACTAACAATAAAACCAACATTAAAAAAATAAAAAAATATTTACGCTCTAAGAGTCGGGTGAATAATAACTTACGCATCATCCATGAACTTTGCTGCCACCATAACACTGGTAATAAGAAGTCGGTGTACGTTGAGCGAAGTCAAGCGTAAATTCGTCCGTTGAATAAATCTATCGACATATATATGTGCAATAATAAAGCATGAAGGGCTGCAGCACGAGTATTTAAATATCCGATCTATGTATTGTTGAATGGTAAGAGAAGGTGCTCTTAAACCGTAGAATATGCTGCTGCTGACGTCATCATCTTTCGCTAGTGAAGTTTCTAGATTCCTTTCACATGTTTGAATAGATCTTTCTAGAAATGTCGAAACGAGTGATAAAACTCGGGGCTTTCCAATATAGTCCTTGATGGGGTCCTTAAGCCCTAATGATATGTAATCGAGTGAGCCTATAATCTCTTTTTCGAGCGCCAAAGATCCCATTTTTCAAGTGCATCACTCGGTTTTTGAATTTCGGAGATTTTTTTTTCGATTCTGCAAAAGATTGATAAAAAAATGGTAATCAATAAGAAACTCTAAAATGAATTAATTAAAAAAAAAACCCGTTTTGGCAAAGTTAGGTCTAAGAGACAGTTGAAGCAGCAAACAAAACAGAACAAACCTAACTTCTCCAATGAGTAAAACTACTGATTTTGGATAGATTCTCGTTACGTTGTCGTTAAATAAATGGAAAACGCACAAACACTTTTTTCACGGATAAATTAAATAAAACCGAGCAAGAGTTGAAATTTTCGACCTAATAGACACCATCGGTAATGGATAAGTGAAATTTTGCATTCATTTTCACAAGGTTGTTTCAAAATCAAGATACTTAAGAACACAAGATCCGATTGTCGAATTGTCATAAAATCCCAAAAAATCTCGGAACGCGGTCGAAGAAATGTTTCAAAACGCAAGAAAATCAGTGGGATAGTCGGTTTTCTTGGCTGCATTTTGGTTACAAAGTCAATACTTACTAACTACACATTGTAAGTTCAATAAATTGCAATAGATATCTACACTTCGTTCGCGAAATCGAATTTTAATCCTTAACCCAATAACATGTATACATTCGATACAACAGATCCAACCCGGAATCACATATATATATATATATATATATATAAATCAAGAAAATCCACAGCACATGATACATTTCAACCATTTTTTTGGGCAAACTACATAAATACAAGAAATCAACTAAAACTGAGCAAAGAATGCTTAAATCTCAATTAATTTAATTAATATCTTAATTGAATTAAGAAAGGTCATCTGCATTTCTGGCAAATCAAAGAATTCATACTCAAGTAAAAACAAAAGTAAAATTATTTAAATCCAAGAAACTCAAAATAGGAACAAAGCTTACCCCAACTTATTCAAAGATTCTTCTTTCCTTTAATCTGAAACAGAATCTTGAAAATCACTTCTGACTATCATCGAACACAATCAACTAGATTATTCAGAGAAAGGGTAGGGAGAGAGAGAGAGATAGAGAGAGAGAGAGAGATTGATTGAATTGAGCAAGTAAGAAATAATGGTATATGGGTGGCTGTATTTTAGGTCACTGGCACATGGAAAACAAAAAAACCCCTCAATTTGTCGTCTTCTTTTGTTTCTCTCACTATACTTGTTATTGTATATGTCTCTCTGTATGAATTGACACAAGTATACTTCTCTCTCTCTCTCTCACTCAATCTCACACTCACTGTGTGAGAGAGAAGTGTTTTTATTATTCATTGCGGAAGGTAGCGTGTCGGTAGCATATTTTAATGGGGACAACTATTTTGAATACTAGTTTTTGCTTAGTTGAATACCAAAAAAATAAAAAATAAATAATTAATTGTAAATTACTTTAATACCCTTAATGAAAATTAAAACCAAAAAATATTACAAATACTATTTTTCTTTCTTAAAAACCAAATAATCAAAAACCTAAAAAAAACATTTCCCTCCTCACTCACAAACCCCTCACCTCCTCCACCTCCTTCTTCTCCCTCCCCAAAAACCCTCCTAAAAAACCCCAAAACAAAAGAAATCAAAACCTTACACAACTTGCAAAATGGCCTCAAATGACAATAGAATGGTAGTTTACGAGCAAGGAGAACCCATTCAGGTATGTATTCATGTATTTTTTGAGCTAAAACATCGATTTTGAATTTTTTTTTTTTTTAAAACTCGCCATGTATTTTCGACACTTAAGTGTCGAAAAATAAGGGTATTTTCGACACTTTAGTGTCGATTTTGTTCCTGTTGCAAATTTACTTGTCTTATATTTTCGACACTTTTGTGTAGATCGATTGCACCCATTCATTTACCACGTCAGAAAAATTCCCAACAAAAGAAGCTTTAATGGCATGGGTTCGTGAAGTATGTAAAAGAATTGGAATGGTGTTAATGATTGGGGGTTCGAGTGACGGGGATAGAGGACGTAGGACACCGTATGTGATTGTTCGTTGTGAGCGTGGGGGCCATTATGTTGGCAAGAAGGTACCAGGTGAAGATGATCAAAGACCGGGAAAAAGGAGCACCGGTTCAAAGAAATGCAATTGTCCGTTTAAATTGAAGGGGACAAGAGAACACAAGGATGATGAAAAGGCTGAGTGGAAATTGGATGTTAGTTGTGGTATTCACAACCACAACTTATTCGAAAACTTGCACGGACACTCTTATGCCGGAAGATTATCAAAGGAGGATGTTTCCTTTGTTCACACTATGAAGAAAGCAATGGTGAAACCAAGGGCAATTCTAAGAGCATTGAAGCAAAAGGACCCGTCTAATGTAACTGGTATGAAGACAGTTTACAATACTATCTCTAAGTTAAATTTCAGTGAATTGGATGGGAGATCTCAATTGCAATCATTGTTTGTCAAGTTGAAAGAAGATGAATACCTCTCGTACCATAGATCGAACGAGTTGAATGCGATTACCGACTTGTTTTGGATCCACCCGAAATGCATTAAGTTGGCACAGTCGTATCCGTACGTATTCGTCATCGATTGCACGTACAAGACCAATCGTTACGGACTCCCATTTCTTGAGATTGTGGGTTTTACTTGTACCAACAAGACGTTCTCAATTGCCTTTGCTTACTTGGACCACGAAAAGACGGAAAATTTTGAATGGGCGTTGCGTTGTTTGAAGGAGGCCATGACCAGTTGTCCTCGGCCTAATTGCATTGTAACAGATCGAGATTTGGGTTTTATGAAAGCAGTGGCCAATGTGTATCCATCGAGTCATCACTTGCTGTGTCGATGGCATGTGAACAAGAATATAGTGGC